CAAAAGAGCTTGTGAAATAATATACTTTGACTTTTATGATGACCATTTCTCTTATGTAAAATAAGGCAGAAGATAGCAATATTTGAGAGCTATACTTAATGGACGTGAAGTCCTGATTCAGCATTATGGGTTATACACAGTTTTGCCGTGGTGACACACTGTCCATACCCTACAATCTGAAAATAAGCCTGAAAGTGGTAGTTAATCTTTTGTTTCCTTGTAAGTTACTAAAATATATGTTTTTTAGTTTTAATGTTATACCACTAATTGTTATACCACTAAGCTGTTTCTTCTTCACATCTAAAACAAAATAGTACTTTAAAAATGTAGTTCACTTAGATACAGTGTGATTTCAGCAATGAGTTGTAGCGTGTCAGAAATGATGAAGATGGCACAGGATAGAGCAGGGTTCAGGTAGGCTGTTCATAGGGTCCCTGAGTTGTACTCAACAGAACCTAACAACAAGAAGCAGATTATAAAATTTAAAGAAATTGGCAGAAACAGAAGAATTTAATGAAACAACATATAAGCAAGAGCCTATGGTGATGAAGGAAGATGTTCAGACTGCTTTGAAGGAATTGGCTAAGAATAAGGCCCCAGGAATTGATGGAATACCAATTGACATATTTCAGTTAATAGATGCTGCCATGGATGTGTTTGCCAAGGTGTGCCAGGAGAACAACCACTTGGCCAACTGACTGGAAGAGATCTATATTTGTTCCCATTCCAAAGAAAGGTGATCAATCCCACATAGTGTGGAAATTATCGAACAATATCATTAATATCACATGCGAGCAAGATTCTGCTGAAGATTATCCAAAACCGACTGGAACAGCACATCAACAGAGAACTACCAGAAGTCCAGGCTGGCTTTAGACGGGGTCATGGTACTAATGATATTGTAGCTAATGTTAGATGGATCTTGGCTGAAAGCAAGGAGTACCAGAAGAATGTCTTTGTTTCATTTATTCCGCAAAGGCATTTGACTGTGTGGATCATAACAAAATGTGGCTGACTCAAAGAAGAACGGGAATCCCAGAACACTTGATCGTGCTAATGCGAGATCTATACTTGGACCAGGAGGCAGTCGTCAGAACAGAGCAAGGAAACACTGCATGTTTCAAAATTGGGAAGGGTGTATGTACCCTAGGGCTATATCCTGTCTCCATACCTTTCCAATCTTTATGCAGAACAGATTATCCGGGAGGCTGGGCTGTATGAAGAGAAATGTGGCATCAGGATTGGAGGAAGACTCATCAACAATCTGTGTCATGCAGATGACACAATCCTGCTTGCTGAAACTGAGGAGGACCTGAAGCGTTTGCTGTGGAAGGTCAGGGACCCTGGTCTTCAATATGGTTTGAGGTTCAATATCAAGAAAACAAAGATTCTCACCACTGTGCCAATTGGCAGATCCATGAAGGGTGGTGAAGAGATTGTTCACAGTTTTCATTTGCTTGGCTCCATGGTCAGCATGCTTGGCACCAGCAGCCAGGAATTAAAAGATGTATTGCGATGGGAAAGTCTGCAGTTAGAGACCTCTCTAAAG